TCCTCCAGAGAGGACCAATAACGATAAATGAACCAACACCAGTTGCACCAGGACCTGTCAAAATCTCTCTCACACGTTCAGTTTATTCATATGGACCAGTTGCTGTGAGATGGGAGGTAATTATGAGAATAATAAAGATGTTTAGATCCAATTGGCACTATCATTTGCTAGTTGTGGTTGTGTATGTAGATAGAAGCTTTTGATTTTTAATCACATACGCCCTCTAGCGATTGTTTCTGTTGTGACAAAGTAGGTTTTGTTGAATGAGTAGCATTATTGGTGGCGTTCATGGCTAACGTGTCGTCTTTCACCGCTGTGAGTCCAACGGGTCGGGTCGCTGGCTCAAGGCCTGCAGTCGTCACATGTGAATGGAGTTTGTTTGATGTGTTGTTCTCTCCAATGCTACCAGTGTTTTCTTCGGGTTCTCTGGTTTCCTCCCTCCGTAAAAATCGACAAGTGAGTTGAGCGTTGTGTGCATAGAATATTAAATGTAGTGGTAGCGCATGTGAGTGAAAAGTGTCCCCAATTATTGCAAAAGTGCTAGAACGACTAGACACTTAAATAAAAGTGATTTATTTATTTATGTCAATCAAGGTGTTTCCATGATATTCCATAGACACGTGCCCTTGAAAGCTTTGTATTTTCCGACAATATAGGGAGGGTGACACCATAACACCACATAGTTGGACATCCATAAAATCGTGGTTGTGCATGCTTAATGTCTAGTACATAGGTGTTCCCTATGCTACAATCTGAGCCAATAAAAAGAAGAAGCTGGGTTCAGAAAAAAATCATTCTGTTATTATTAGCTAGACTCCATCTTGACTCCATCATATTCTTCCCAACTTCTCCTGAAGAGGAATGAATTTTTGATCAAAGCGTCAGAACAAATTTGTTTTTTACCTTATTTCTTTCCATATAAATTTCATTTATATATCTAAAAATCTCAGTTATAATCAAACCCTAGCTTGCCTAGAGTTGCTCCAAGCCCAGGCATTTGTACTGGCAGACTAGTGGGCTCCTTTGTCCTTCTAGGGACCCCCCAAATTTCTCCCTCTCCTTCCAAAAATCACTACACACTCACACTCCGGCACTTTTTGTTAGACCTCGGCAAAACAACATGAATTTTTAATCAAAGCTCGTACATTATGCATTTAGTTTGTTCTAGGAGTTAATGAGAGCATCCAGAACTTTGAACAGACTTCAGGAATAGTTTCATTTGCAGATGGTCAATCTGAAGGGATCATCTCTTTACAAGCTAAGGCAGATGATGTATGTATTACTCTATTCATTGAGGAATTACTAGAAATACAATACTGACAGTATTATCATTGATGATGATGGCTGGAAGTACATGTAATGATGATGATGATGCTAATAAGGATATGAAGATTCTGGTGGTGATAACGATGACAGTGATGATGGTGATGATGATGATAACGATAATAAAGATGTTGAAGATTTTGGTGGTAATGACGATGGCAGTGATAATGATGGTGATGATGATAGTGAAGATGTTGAAGATTCTGATGGTGATGACGATGGCAGTGATGATGGTGATGAGGATGACACTAGTGGTGAAGCTGGTGACAATGGTGGTAATTATGATGGTAGCGATTATGCTAATATTACTGCTGTTGACAATGATGGTGATGATGATAGTGACAATGATGATATTATAGTGATGATAACAGTATTA